TATTTTACAAAATATAAAAAAATGACTATATACTGTATATATATATATATAATAATAATAATAAAATAATTTTTTTAGAAATCTATATATTTTAAAAAAAGCCATGTATTGTCCAACCAATGCAGTATCTAATCATTGAATAATGCAATTTTTTTTATGGTTAAAATATTCTTCACCACCCTCCTTTAGTATATATTTAACACCAATATCAGATTTATCAAATTTTGGTTCTTCTAGAGAAATTAATAATAAACTTGCTTTTATGGAAATACTTTTAAATTTTCCAGTTACATAAGAAATCCCATGAGAGTTTTCTTTTATTTTATTTCTCCCAGTAAATTTGGCCTTTGGGGCTTGTTTTTTATTTTTAGGTAAAAGTGGTGCAGACCACCATCCTTTAATAGATTCATATATATCTTGACTCACAGGAGCTATTAATCTACCGCTTGTAACAAAACATGTTTTGCTATATGGTTGGTTCGTTTTAGTATCATATATATAAATTCTTACTTCTTGTTCTTCAGTACCTCGTCCGAAATATTGTATAGAATCATTTATTAACCTTTGATGCCAGATACCGCCATAACAAAGTTTTAAACCTTCAACTTTTGATTTGCTTGGTCCAATTGTTCCTTTTGGTTGTGTTGAATCAATAGAGAAAATTGAAGTGAGAGTTTTATTATTTATATTCTCAAATGCAAAATCAAATGCATGGCGAGTTTGTTCTAATCTGAGTAGATCATGTCGCGAAACGAATACCTAAAAAAAAAAAAGGATTGATTAATTTAGTTCAATTCAATTCTATGTGTTAATACTATTCCTTAAAGTAAATTAAAAAAATGTTTTTACAATACCAATAGACGTTTATTTTGATTGGAGAAAGCCTTATGGAATCGTTTTACGATAATTTCTTTTATTCCTTGATCAAAATATCGAGAAAGGACCAAGTACCGACACAGATCACGAGTTGGTAGATGGGAAAAAACTTCGAGCACAAGCTTGTGAGGTAATGTTAATAAAGTTGGCATTTTTGAATTAATATATAGATAAAAAAAGTATTATTTTATTATTCTGTATATTACTGTTAGATTTTTTTGAATAAATTATCAAAAAAAATATTTTTTCAAAAAAATGAACGGAAGGATAAATCAATTATCAAAGAAAAACTTTAACTAGTCTATAGGGTCTATATTTATAATTCCTAAATGACATTTTCTAGAACATCGACTCATTACCTAAGTCCGACGAAATATATAAAAATAGAACGATAAATGCCTATATTCAATATATGGCACTCAAGAAAAACCTAAATTGGATAAATCATATGATTAATACCTGGTTGGGAATAATGTAAACGGTACGCAATAAACGGGTAAAAAACGGGTTTGCATCGTATTTTCTATAAATATCATGTAATTTGTATGTATAAGGTAAACAAGCAGAGTTAATTTAACTAACTGGACTTTCAAGCGGTTTTTAGGTATACCTCGCAAAGAAATATGCGGTTTTTTCTTTGTTAAACATTTGAACAGTTCGTGATCCATAGAGCAGAATTGTACGATATCTTTATCTTTGATTATCTTTGACTTTATTATTTAATTTACCTTTTCGCATCTTCTGAGGGGGCTAAGGTTATTTTTTTTTTGGAAATTACTTTGTTTGATTTTCATTTTTAAGTTTTCCAGTAAATATTTATTACTTTGTCTGATTTTCTTTTTAAGTTTTTCCAGTAAATAATTTAGATAATTTAAGTTTCACAAATTTCTAGTGACATTATATGTAAGGGGCAAAGTTAGTGCATTGTAGTGCAAAATAGGATAGAGTAGAACAGAGCAAAACAGAGCAGAACAGAGTCAAGTATTTTGGCAAAAATTGCAGATGTAGTTGATGCTGTTGTAATTATATAGTGATAAATTTGGGAAAAATGAATACACCAATAAACCAGCAGCTAATTTGCACACCTAATTTACTTTTTTTCGTCAGATATTTTATTGACTTTGATAAAAAAAATTATCATTTCTATACCCATACTAAATTACACAACAACTTACGTTTTAATAACATGACTAAAGGCCAAATTATTAAGTAAAACAATACAAAAGTTAGTATCAGTGACATGCTGACAGCTCGAGCGTTGATTAGAGTATATTCCACTTTAGCTTTTTGCTCGTCGGTAATATACTAATATACTCGTTCATCATTGTTGCAGCACAGTTACGATTCTTAAAAAATCTTGATAATTAATCTTTTGCATATTTCTGATTTATTTTTTTCTCTTTTGTTTCTCTTCTATTATTGTTTATATTCCAAACATGATTTTTTGTCTTCTTTCCGTTTCTAACTTCT